AACTCAAGATCTAAGTCACATTTTTAAAATAAAGGCGTAACCAAACATACCCAAGCCAAACAACCTCTAAACAAGTCCTAAAGCCTAACTACAGAGCCAGAGCACAAATCAGAGAGCTTCCTCCAATATATCTAAATTCCTAGTCTTCTACATGACCTAGACTCTCTCCCTCTAACCCTATTTCAGTATTTCCTCTAAAAATTTTCATCTTTCGATCCCCATTCTTCGTTAGCCTACCCCCCCCCCCCCCCCCCCCCCTAAAAAAAAAATGACAATTCCTGGATTCACCCTTGGCTCTAATACCATTGCTAGAAAACTATATTTAAAAAAATTTCTTTTATTAGAAGCATGAAAATATCCTGCGTTTGCAAGAAGAGACAACATCATATATTAGCTTTATAATGAATTATATATATATATATAAGGTTCTCAGAGCCTTATACCTCAAAGATTTGATAAATCTCAAAAACATCGATCTTTAATGATGGAGATGCAGAAACTCTAAACACTAAGCCCAATCCCTTCTTCTCCCAATTTCCCTTTTGAGTTTTCTGCTTTTTGGAATCAAACTTATGTCCCTACATGAAAACAAATTTGGCTCTGTTTAGGGAATGGATGAGAATTTTAGCAACCAGAGATAGCTCAGTGAGGAGAGAGTGTGTATCTTATATACGCCAATGCATATTGATTTATGTAGCCTAAAAATCAAATATAGTTTTATCAGATAGGCTCACATATCTATCCTTCTGAATTTTGAAATTCAAACAAAAATAAAAGAATGGATAACCAGGGCTAGGAATGAGGATCCATTAGGCCATTCCTTCTTGGCTCTAATGAGCTAACAATTAAACCGGTCAATCTCCATTGACCCAATTCAATTAGTTTATTAACTATTCTTAACTCCACTAAATAAGAATAGTTGAACTCCAATTAGAAACCGCTAATTCAATTTGCATAATGACCTCTCTATGTTTAATTAGTTATCGGATAAATAAATGTTATCAATCCGACTACTTAATTAATCCATTTATTTTGACTCCTTGATTATTTTCTATTTGATCACGTAAATCGATTAATTTGATAAAATAATGTATTTAATAAATATATATATATATAGGAACGAATTTTATCGAAAAACACACATAAGCCTCTGAATTTGCCTATGATTAAACTAATCAAGTCAAAATATATATAATAGTAGAAATGCAACTATTAAGAGTATATTTCCAAGTTATTAGTTAATAATTACTCAAAGTATCGGATATTAGATCCTAGGGCCTACCGAATAAATCAAAGCAATTATTAATTAATACAAGAATTTATACCTCTTTCATGCTTGAGAGTAATGACGATAAGGAACAATTGTTATGAATTATTGATAAAGAGTCAATCATTTATCACCGATAATAAACCATTTATGATAACGCAATTGCAGTAATTTATGTATTCCATACATGAACCAATTCATGTAAATATAAATCATATACGTTATAAAGTGGACAACCTCGATTCAACTTCCGAACCGACCAATACATAGAATTCACCAATTATATATATAAATATATATAGACAACGCATTTAAATAAATCATAAATAATATAAAATATAATAAATTTCAATTACAATTCCAAAAAGTCCAAAAACTACTATAGTTTGCCAAAAGATCCAATTCATCTCCTCTTGGTTCATTGTTTGGGGTGACACTCTAGCAGTGGACTCGATTATGGGGGGAGAAGATCATTTATTTTAAAGTTTTGCTAATACTTCCATAGGGAAAGGCCCCAAGTCTAGGTTCTATTACAGCCATTTTAACTCAAATTTAGGGCAAAAGTGGAACTAGAGAGTGCATAGTGAGCGTATGTCTTTCTTCTTCTTCTTTTTTTTTTAGGACATCTAGACAGGCATGAACAAGGAACCATTGATAAAACAACAGAACACTAGTAGCACCATAAAAACAATAGCCTTCCAAAACACGACTAACACCCAGCAAGGTTAACAAAAACCTAAGGCTTTAACAGGTGTCAGGAAGTCTAAATTGGCTAGCCCCCATGATAAAGGCCTTAGGAACCCACAACTCAACGAAAGGACCTAGTCACAAAAGAAACAACAATTATTGGCCCAACTAGAAGAGGATGGGCTATCCTTGAAAGAACTCGATGGATAAATTGAAAACCCGTCATTATATGCATGAGACATTAATACGCCGTGGCCGATATAGTCATGTCCATTCTGCATCCTCAACTACATAAGGAAAACATATTCCAGAAACGTATGAAAGATTCGTTGCATGGCAGCAATGCCATAAGCACCAAACCCAATGGTTGACTTTAACACCCTCGTTTGACACAAAATATTATAGCACAGATCTCGAGGTCGTCGAGTAGTCACCGGAGTCGAAAACAGAAAGTATAACCAGTATTCTGGCTAGTATCCTTCAGCGATATCATCAACAAACAACATCAAACCTATTTTGATAATGGCTAACCCCCAAAATCCTTGCAACACCATAAACCCTTTTTTGACCAGCGTGACAAAACTTTCCGACAATACCAAGCCATGACCCATAGTCGAAGGTGGCCGGAATACACGCATCGCTGACCATAGCAAAAGAATAGTTCATGACCGAAAGACATGCTATAGAGTCCCGAGCGATTCGCCAAAGCCCTAAATTTATTCCCAATTTTAATGGCTGAAACACTCGCAAATAGCACGACGGTATGATACTATGTCAAGGCCACATCAAGATCCAAATCAGATATATGAAAACACCACTAGAAAGCGAAATACCAGGCATTAAGCATGAATCCACTAGAGAAATAAAAACGACACCACCCAACCAGACCCCATAGGCCATGACTACCACTGGAACCACCGCGTTTACCATGAATTGATCAATGGAAATCCAAGACAACAACGCGACTAGAGAGAAACCAAAACAATACATAAAGAAAGTCATAAATAAAACAGAAATAAAGAAGACCATCACAATACTTAGATCAAAGGAGAAGATCGGCTTATAATGGCCATTTTGTTGGCCACCGGTCAGCACACTCGAACCAACACCCCGCCGGCAACATGAAACCATCCTAGCCAACCACCCACAGAGAAGACTGACTGAAGAATTTAGGGAAATCATCCAGCGTAACACAACATCATGGAAAAAACACCAACTCTGATGAATAGTGAAAGGAGCAGAACCTCTACAGGGAGAGGGGAGCGTGGATATATGAAATCCAACATGTTGGTGTTGCACAGGTTGCATATGTTTTTCATGTTCTTGGTATGACCATTGTAGGGTGGTAGTTAGACTGTTTGCTGTGAGTCGTACGCAGCAGAATATTTAGAAAGTTTTGATTATTTTAAAAACAGATTTTGTGTTTTTCTAACTTTCTTTATTTTAGTAATTAATAAATTAATATCATGCAGTATAAAATAAAGTAAAGTAAAGTTATAGATGACACCAGGATTTTAGCGAGGAAACCCCAATTAATAAAATACGTCAACTGTTTACGTGGAAAAAATCTCGTGTACTATGCAATTCAAAGTAAACCGATCAACTATGCTTGAAACAAAGTACACTGAACTTTGACTATAGCTCACACCCTACCGTTCTACCAAACACCAATTGCTGACAATCCTCTGGCTTTACGACTCCCCGTCCAATATCAACTTGACCTCAAGCTTATGCTTGATCTTTATAGAAGAGTAGCAGGCAGATTAGACAAAACTCCTCGAATGCTCCAACTCTTTCAAAGTATGATTGTTTTTACTTCTATTCTTCAACTTCTGGATTTGATGTAGAAATAGATCTGCTTTTGTCTTATCGATGTAGATACAACTGTATGATCACGATCAGGATTTGAACACCACAACTCTAAACTCACTATATGTTTATGTGTATATGTTCTAGAAAGACAAACAGAAAATTTTCTAAGATTTTTGAGAGAAAAATCTTCTTAAGGCTTTTTAAGAATAATGAACTGATAAAGCAAAAGCCGTTTATAAACCTATGTGTATGACAAGGTTTATATAGAGTTTAGAATGTCCTAGTCCCTCTGAAAATATGAAAAAATTCGTGCATAGGACTTGGTACAATTCTAGACCAACTAGAAAAGATATTAGGAAAAGGATACTGAAAACTGTATTGTGAACATGACTCCTTGAACCGGTTCAAAGGGGTTGAACCGGTTTAAGATTAGCAGTTGGATTTTCGAATCCAAACTTGAAGCCTTGAACCGGTTCAGAGGGGCTGAACCAGTTCAAGTTGGCCAAAACTAAAATTTTGGTTCATTCAGCCTAAAAACATTCTAGGGTAAGTTCTAAAAAATATGGAAAGTGTAGAATGTGTCATACCCTGTTCAGAATCCTTCCTAATGTGTTATTCTTATCTTTTTTCGAATGATCTCAATTGTAGTAACTTTGAACAACCTTTCCAATTCTGTAGTCACCGTCGATCTTGCTAACTTGCATTACAAGTAACTGGAATTACAACTCAACATGGACTTATTTTGTTTATGATAATTGCCAAATATAAAATAATATCTCACATTTGCTTCGCTGTTGCTACAAGCCTTTTTCTCTCTTTCGTTTTGTTTAGTAGGAATATGCTTTGTAATGTTGTTTTGCATTTATTCAGGGAATTTTTTTCATCCTTTTTATTTTCTTTACTCAGACTACTCATCAATGGTATGCTCCTTTAGAAGATTCTATTCTTTCCCGTTTTGGAGAAAAAATAAATAAAAAATTTGGTCTCATGGCCTCTCGAGCCTATGCATAAAAAATTCACATTTTCATTGCTTGGCCACTAAAGTCTAGAAAGCAATTCTTCAAAAACAACATAAATTATATTTCCAAACCCTCACTTCCAATCATTTTTGTAACAGGTTACTGGATCTAAAACTTTGGATTTATTTGATTTTTTTTTTTTTTTTTTTTGTTTGTTTGAGAAGGAGAGATCATACATATGGACTAGTAGGGGCTAAACTTCAAGAGAAGAGAACTGTCATAACAAAACCGCTTAATATTTAAAATTTTACAATTAAAGAAGCACAAATTTCACTGTTAAAGGTTGATGGGAAAATGACATAAATATCACTCAAATCTGATTCATTCAGTCAACTTCAGACTATAATATATAATTTAAAGTTTCCCACAAGAGAGAAGAACACCAAAGCAGAAGCGATTCCGGCAAAACTTTTACCCACAATACCAGTCAATTCAGGCTTCAGAGTTAAATAAATATCACAAAGACATACATACCCAGCAAACTACTATTTAATAACCACAGCAATTTGATGAGCAAGTTGAGCTGCTTGGAGGAACCATTCCCAGTGAGCCTAAAAGTGGTTAGAGAAAGCTCAACACTGTATAGTCAGTTAAATTTGATCTGGGATTTGCCTGGGATCAGAGACATTGGCCAGCACTGAAGAGAAGAAACTCAAGAAATTGGGAGAAGTCCACACAGCAATTTATTTGGTTCTGAACAACAAATCATGTATGCCATCTGTTATTCAAATCATACATTCAATATACATAGATGTAATGGCAAACTAAACTATATATAATATATATATATACAAACGCATATATAAAAATTACCTCGAGAGATTATGGGAGTAAGAACCAATGGAATTCTATATTTTGTTATTCGAACTTGTTTCAATTTTTTTTTTTTTTTTTTTTTTTTTTTTTTTTGCTCTACCTTATTGTTGAATAGAATAAGCTCGGATCACTTCAACTATAGGTGCCCGACACATTGGACACTTCCCTCTACCTTGGACCAGTTTATCTGCACATTTTGAGCATGTGCACATGTGCCCACATCTGTATCAAAAGAACAGAGAAAAAGGAATATAATGTAAGGTTCTATACAACAGCAGCTGCAGTGAATGTGGTTTAAACATGTACTTTGGGCAGAACCACATAAGGGGGAATGGTGGCATGCTACAATCCCCGCTAAAAAAAAAAAAAAATTCTACCAAATTCCTATTTTATGGAGTTATTTTTTATATAAAATAGGAAAAGAAAACTTGACCCTTTCCATTAAAGATCTATCTGTACATGGGAGTTATTTTTATGGAGTTATTTTTTATATAAAATAGGAAAAGAAAACTTGACCCTTTCCATTAAAGATATGCTAAAGTTCAGGTGACACCGCGAGAATTTCACAAAAGTTTGTAGATAAGTATGGTAGAGACAGGAAGAACACAAAGAAGATGGAAACAATTTTATGGACTCAAGTTCCCGTAAATTGTAATCTTTATCCTCTTTAATTCTTCTACATCTATGGTGATTTCTCTATCATCGTGGATGTAAACAAGGTTTCACCGAACCACAATAAATACTGTTCTTTGAGTGCTTGTTTATAAGTTCATTATTATTCGCAATTGGATCTTGATATGGGCACATGCCCGCACAGAAACTAGCTTCCAATTCCAAAAAAATAGAATTAAATTTTATTAACAATTGAATACTTAGATCTGCCATTCAAATAGGAATTTCATTCAAGAAATCTAATTATTACTGGACCTAATTGAAAGTTGGTGGAGGTTTAGTCTATTAAAGATACAACTTGGATTAATTTTAATAATTTTTTTTTACATACTCTAAATTATAATAGTAATTTATATGTTATAATTATGGAAAAAAAAAAAAAAAAATTTATATGTAAGGGGGAGCAGGAAAAGTGGAGGAAAGAAGTGTGAAATATGGCATAGGAAACACCATTGGTGATATGAACTCGAATTTGAAATGTATTAAGAAACTTCGACAAATGTATGAGGCACTCAAAAATTAAATATTAATTTCTGTATTTACATATTTTGAAAAGGGACCTGTTAGGCTAATAGGTAGGAATTATGTCGGCAAATTTGTATAACAAAGTTGTAGTCAGTAATTTTTTATTTTTTTATTTATAACTTAGTTTAGAAATTTTCAGAAATTAGAGTCAGTTGATTACCTCCAAAGTTGAATAAGAAAATCAAAATTTGTTAGAATATTATTATAGGAGCCTATACTTAAATTACTCCTTGACAGAATATTGTTACGAGACTTGTCGCCATATTTGTATTTGACTTTCTCTATAATTCCTTTATTATAAAATACTTGTATTTTCTATTCTCTAGCTACAAGTCTTTCTCTTTTCACCTATAAATAGAGGTGATCATTACAAAAAATCAAGAGAGTATAAAAAAGATATGTAGCCCTTTGGGATTTTGTGTGTCGTGGATGTAAGCCCTAGTGGCTCAACCACGTGTATTTCCTTATGTTCTTCATTTTCTATTTCTCTCTTCAATTTTGACAAAGGGTATTCCAATAATCCTTTAAAACGGTAATTCAACACAGTGATGCACTGACCAAAAATTAATATTCATGAATGTATAATTAGGGGTTCTATAACTTTCATGGTTTTAATCATATTAAAAAAGGGCAAACCCAGTGCACGAGGCTCCTACATTGCAGAGTCTGGGGAGGGTCAGACGTATGCAACCACCTTACCTCCGCATGGGGAGGTTGTTTCCGTGTTTTGAATTCGTGGCCTCCAAGTCATAATGGAGCAACCTTACTGTCCCACCAAGGATTGCCCTAAATCTTTCAAATCATGTATAGAATGAGTTTTTAAAAACTTCTTGTTTGAAATTTTGAACTGTAGTAGACTTTGATTGATAAAAGATGTGATCAAAGGCTTCTGGAGTATCATCGATCCAGAAGCAGTTTCCAAGTTGGTTTTGAACTTTACTTCCCCTATTCTCTCTATACTTCCATGTGATCAGATAGTTCAACACAACCATTCAATCTATCATCATAGATTGATCATAGATTGAAGCCTGGACGATTAGTGGCTGAGACTGAAATCACTAGAGGCTGGACGACTAGTGGCTGAGACCGAAATTACTAGAGAAGCAGATTCGTGAGGAGCAGATAGATGGTTTGAAGACATTCAGGATAAGAACTTCTTGATTGAAAATTTGAACTGTAGCAGACTTTAATTGATCAAAGAGGTGATCAAAGGCTTCTGGAGTATCATCTCAATTGATTGATAGATCAATCAAGCTTTTTGGAAAAGCAGTTTCCAAGTTGGTTTTGAACTTTACCTCCCCTATTTTCTCTATACTTCTATGTTGATTATATATATACATATGTGATATTAGGGCAAGAAAAAATAAATAAAGGGTTAAATGGTTTGACACCCCCTCAGGTTTGGATTTATTGCCCCATATTAAACCTCAGCTATTTTTGCTCTCACGCCCCCTATGAAAAGTAAGAAAACAGTGTTTTTACTATAATACCCTTACCTTTATTTAACTTTAAACTTGTGTAACAGATAAAATGTGAAATGACAATATTACCTTCTCAGTTCTCTCTCTCCCCTCTCCCTGAATTGCTATCCCTATTCACTGTATTTCTCTCTATCCAAAAAAAAAAATAGGTAGAGGACGAAGGGGCAATGGTGGTGGTCATGTTGGCACGCCGGAATACACAACTGTGATGTTGGTTGTGCGATGGATATGGTGGTGATGCCACCGGAATGTCGGAATCAATGGACCAGAGACCCAGTTTACAGTACCACTAACACAACATTGGTTGGATGAGAAGACAGGTTTTGATGAAGTTATGATGGAATTGTATCTCTGAAAAGCTTGCCAATAACTATGGTGACGCACACAACTGAGTTCAGTGGATCTGTGCTCGCTGCTGGGAAAGAGTTAACTCACTGACGACTCGGCACTGGTCGCAATGAAAAGATCTGGGTCTGGTGACATCCTCCTCAACTATGTAGAGAACAACTAGTCGGAGCACCGTCGTCGGCGATGAGACCGCCGATCCCTAACAAGATTTGCCACGTCATGAGGCAAGGGAAGAGGGAGGGCTATTTCTTAATTCCCCATATATATATGTCAATTTTTTGGGGGTAAACCAGCTCTTGTTTGGTTGCCGAGAAACGGAAGGAAAATAAAATGGAATTTTTTTTTTTTTTATTTGGAAAATAAAATGGATTTAAAAAAAAAAAAAAAAAAAATTCTATATCATGTTTTTTTTTTTGGCAAACTAACCTCTGTTTCATGTCTTTTATTTTATTTTTATTTTTTTTTTGGTAAATTCTATAGGAATGACTTTGCAGAAATAATGATGGCCATAGCTTCTATTTTTTTTTTTTTTTTACTCCTAGTGTTTGTGGTATGGTGGCGGTGGTTGGGGTAACCATGGTTTGTTTTCTGCTCTTCCAGTGGTACTGTGGTTGTGGTGGTGTTTGGGTTCACCATGGAAGAATTGTTAGGGTTATTTTGGTCCATTAAATTGACATTATATCTACATAAAACTATGGAGGGTAATTTAGGCATTATATTTTATCAATTTGAAAGAAAGGGGTGTCACAACAAGATAAACCAAACCTCATGAGGGTGTATTAGAAAATTGGCTGAGGTTTAATATGAGAGCAATAAGCAATAAACTGAAACCTCAAGGGGGTGTGAGAGCATTTAACCCATGAATAAATAAATAAACTGAACAGAGATATACCGAGAATAGGGAGAGAGAATATAAACTAGGGAATATATAACTACGAAATTTTTTGGATAAAAACTTCTTGTTTGAAAATTTGAACTGTAGCAGACTTTGATTGATCAAAGATGTGTTTGAAGGCTCCTGGAGTATCATTGATTGATTGATTGACAGATCAATCAAGCTTTTTGGAAAAGCAATTTCCAAGTTGGTTTTGAACTTTACCTCCCCTATTCTTTATTTTTCTTTTGCATTCATCATTCTAGTATTGGTGAATTCAACACAGCCATTCAATCTTATCATAGATTGAAGCCTGGACGACTAGTGGCTGAGACTAAAATCACTAGTAGCTGGACAACTAGTGGCTGAGACCGAAATTACTAGAAAAGCAGATTCGTGAGGACCAGATGTTGTTGACGAGCGGATAGATGGCTTGAAGACATTCAGGAGAAATAGGATGAAATGAAAGCATGGAGGCCTTCCATTTGCCCATGATTTAACCCCGTATCCAGAGGAATTGTCCAATCCTCTCCGTGTGCTTCATCATTCACTAAATGCCCAAGTTTGGTGTCATCTATATTAGCAAGTAACAAGGGAATTTTTTGGGTAAAGTCTGTTAACCTAGATTATACTCTCTTTCTCACGTAGTTGATTTTGGTTTGCCTGAAGCCTAGGTCCAGTAGTTTTTTTCCCTTAGGTTTCTTCCACCAAAAAATAAATCTCTGCCTTCCATTGCTTTATTTTTCATCTGGCTTATAATTACTATGTGTTAGGAAAAAAATTAAAAGATTGAAGAGAGAAATTAAGAAAGAAACAACACAAGGATATACGTGATTCGGCCACTACGGCCAACATCCTCGGCGCAGAAAGCCCAAAGGGCTACATCATTTTTATTATATTCTCTCTTAGTTTGTTTACAATGACCACCTCTATTTATAGGTGAAAGAATACAAGTGATAAAAAAAGAAAATACATTGATGGAGGATTCATAAAATCAATCCCATAAATCACTCATATCAATATTCTATCAAGGCTTGAATCATTCCTATAATCTCTCAACCTCAGAAGTTGGTACAAGTAGATTTTAACTCCAGTGTCCTACTTGAACAAAATACGAAGTTGTCGTGAGTCCGGTGAGTAGATCCGGATATCCAAGACGAATTTGAGACAAGTAGATCCGAGACGAGTTCTTCCTGAGTTCGGAAACGAGAGAGAAAGAGAGATATCATTGTGTCTAGGTAAGCCTACATTGTGGATATATATATGCATGGTGGGTAGTAGTGATCAGTTGAACAATATGTCTGATTCACTCAACGGATGGAAACTTTGACCCCTAATTCCAAAGCCTTCTTCTAATGCCAGTCCCAAAGAAACTACACAATCTGCAATATCAACCCCTTATATTGCAGTTGCAACTACAGAGCCAATCTTTTTGCATTAAATCTTCAACTATGTATATGTCATTTTCTCTCTCTTATTCTCCTATTTCAACTGAATTTCTTTCATATATTTTTTGTTCATCTTTTCTTTTCTTTTTTTCTCATATGTTTGTTGTTGCTATAGCTTCTACAACTAACTGTTCAAAGATATGATTACGCGTTGGCCAATTACAGTGTCAAAACAAGTCCGATCGAGTTGTAATTTTGAGTCTCGATGTCGGAAGTGGAAAAACAAAAGCAAGCATAATTCGATTCACTGAGAACATCATATAGAACCGGTATGTTGAGTGAGGACACGTTGCACCAGAGTTTGGCTTTAACTTCATGTACGTAAGGAAGGCCGATCAATTGTACTACAAAGGGGACAAAATGTTCGCGGAGCACGTGTTCTTTGAGCAACCCTTCTGGAAGGATTGAGCAGTAAGCCTGAAGTCTGCAGCAATTAGACGAAGAGTTGCAAGTATAAGCCTGAGACGACTGGAGTGGGTGTGAGATTTTTTTTTTTTTCTTAGTTGGTACTCACACACACATGCCTCCACTGAGGCTTGAACCTCTAACCTCCCTTTGAGAAGTAGGGGTCTGGTACCGCTAGGCCACTGGCGTATTGGTAGTGGGTGTGAGATTGAGTCACAGTCTCTTGTACTTGCTTCGAGATAGTGGATTCTTTAGCTCGAGACGGCTCCATGGTTTTTTCCCCGATTGGATTTCCACACTAAAAGCAAGCATACTTTGATTCATTGAGAACATCATATAGAACCGGTATGTTGAGTGAGGACGCGTTACACCAGAGTTTGGGTTCAACTTCATGTTCGTAAGGAAGGCCGATCAATTGTGTACTACAACAAAGGGGACAAATTGTTCGCAGAGCAGTCATGTTCTTCGAGCAACCGTTTTGCAAGGATTGAGGAGTAAGCTTGAAGTCTGCAGCAATTAGACGAAGAGTTGCAAGTATAAGCCTGAGATGAGTGGAGGGGTGTGAGATTGAGTCACAGTGTCTTGTACTTTGCTTCAAGATAGTGGATTCTTTAGCTCGAGACGGCTCCATAGTTTTTTCCCCGATTGGATTTCCACACTAAAATCATGGTGCATCTCTTACTTTATTGCACTTCATTTATTGCTTTGTGTGTTTGGTTTAATTTTAATTTGGAAAAAATTAAATTAATCTGAAAATTAGAAAAATGTGCGAGTTAAACTTTTTTACCCCCCCCCCCCCCCCCCTTCCCTTCTCTTTTCTAGGTTAATATTTTGAAAATAACTTTCACAACCATTCCGTATAGTGCACTGCACAAACTCGAATAAGTCTCTAAATTCCATGCCTTCAAATTTCTTTCTCGACTTCAATTCAAGTGCATTAAGTGCCAATTTACATATTTAATTTTAGGAAAAGTAACATTACACTTATGCCTTGCTCTTCTGTATCTCAAACTTGAAATAAGGGTCTCAATGAACTTAAAAACTGGACAATCGGCTATAAAAACTTCAGATTTTGACCTATAAAATTGTGCATGGAACATTTCTTCCAATTATTGCCAAGTATGGCTGGAACAGTTAAAGAGTTAAGAAAAAATATCATTTCTCAACCATGGTATGTTGTGGCCCGAATTTGGTGTAGGTCGCATCGCGACCAATCAAGGCCACACAAAGCTTTGGGGGTTCGGGGTGCTTAAGGTTTGGAGGGGAATGGATTGAGACATTGAAAATCACAGAGAGTGAGAGTGAGAGCTAGGGTTTGGGGGCTGAAACTTGTAATCTCCTATTTTTCGCATAGCGAAAACTTTTACCGGATCTCCACCGTGGATGTAGGCTTTGCCAAACCACACTAAATCTTTGTGTTCTTTGTAATTTGTTGTGTTTGTCGTAACAAACTGGTACCAGAGTATTCAATTCGAAGCAAGGATGGCGTCCAAGTTGTTGGAAATTGAGAAGTTCACTATTATGTAGGAGGAAGAGTTAGATCCAACCCTAAATCAATTTTCCTGCAGGCTGTTGGAATATAATCGGATTTGAATTTATATGGTCAAATCTGCACATTATCAGACCATTCAGAACCCTAGTTGAAATGTTATTCAATTCAATTTAAAAAATTATATATTTTTCACTTTTCGTTTTCTATCAGTAAGTAACTCGTGATTCCAACCGTATTTGAGCCGACTAAGATCTTATTATCATGCACCTATTGGTGTCCCATTAGGGACTTGAACTCTCAACCTTCCATTTTGAAAGAGGAAATTATCACTTGTGCTATGCCCTAGTGGTCACTCAAATCTGAATGAGAAATCCAATCACAGTTGGACGTGGCATTTGAAGGTAGACTAGATTTGATCCAATAAACATTCAAATTAGATTGATTAATTAAATTTTTTTATATTATGTATTATGATATTAATTGATATTTTAAAACCACAGTTGACAGAAAGGCAACTTGAAGTGCGAACAACAACAGGAATTGAAATGTGGAATGAAGTTCAAAATATAGGGGGAAACAAGAAACTGTTGATGCAATAAAATTGAATTTGAACGTATTAAGAAACTTTGACAAAACCAATATAAGACACTCAGATATTTGTATACAAATTCAATATTTATGTGAGTACAAATAATTTTAAAAGGTTAAAGAAAAGTCTTATATGTATGAGATTTCAGGGGCATAGAAAATTTATGAGATTTGTTTCTTTAGGTTTTCCCAATTTTCCTATTATTCTCGACAAGTTCCCTAAGAATTACCTCAGATTTTCAGACACATTGTTGAAACATTTGCAACCTGGTTTCTCAAAGTGTTACTTCAATAAAACAATTTCCTCACTCAAACCAAGTCTTGCAATTACACTCAAATCCCTAATTTTATATCTGCCTCAAATTAGAATCGGAGTAAATTTTTTGGATCCAAACTCAGCCGTTGGTATATAATTGAATTTGAATTCAGAGATCTGAACCGAATCAGACCCAATCAAAACCCTAGTTGAAATTTTGATGAATTCTAATTAATATATATATATATATATATATATATATATATCAATAAGAAATTCCACCTTCAAAGATAAATTTCAGGTTCCACCCTTGAAACATGCATGCTCTGTTCTATATCAATCGTGAAGTTGGGCAGGTTTTGTTGAATTTTACCTGTACAGTAAAGAATCTATATTGCTACCGCAACATATACAGCAAATCCCTTTTCTCACATGATCCCATTTGGATCCATCCATTAACAAATTGTCCGCAACCTCCTCTGCAATAGATAAAAGGCACCTTTAGAGGTCAACTCATGAATGGAGTGGTAAACCAATGCAACCACACTCAAGAGCAGAGCAGCAAAAGTTGCATACCCTAGTTCAAGAAACATTCCCTCAAACAAGAAACGAACATCCAGAAACAGGAAAACAAGAAAACAGGAAGAGAAGCAAATGAGTATTTGCATCAAGATTGTAAACAAACCTGCTGAACCTGCTGACCTATTCAGAGCTGCAGATACCTCTTGCCGTACGGAGCGCTGCAACTCAAGTTGCATATTCATGCAGGCTTCGAGCATCCTCTGCATGTTGTTCATTCGCTGCTGAAGCCTAGCCATATCAATTCTCAAATTGTTGATGATCTCCCACTCCTGCTCCATATCAGCAACAACGTTGTCTTAAGCTAAGAACAACAGAAATGGATATTCTAACAAGTGACATATCAGATGTTTTGAGCTAAAGCGGTAACCACCCAATCATACAGCGAAAGGCAAAAAAGATATAAATATCTAAATAGAGTTGTTCAAAAGAAACTTCGACCAAAGTATACATCAACTAGGTAGTTTCCCTTTTAGAAGTTCCATTAAATGTATAGCCCTGATCAAAATCTTGCAACACACAAAGAGAAGCATTTTACTGTCCGAAATTTCAACTATACACACATACATATGTTTCCAATTAAAGTAACATTCAAATGACGTATAAAAATAATAAATAAATAAGATAATTCCATGGTAGGTATTAGATGGAAAAAACAGAAAATTTAATGCATCAATGATCAAGTTTCAGTGTAAATAATCAGTTCCACCCAATCATACAGGGAAAGGCAAAAAAGGATATAAATGTCTAAATAGAGTTGTTCAAAAGAAACTTCGACCAAAGTATACATCAACTAGGTAGTTCTCCTTTAGAACTTCCATTGAATGTGTGGCCCTGATCAAAATCTTGCAACACGGAAAGAGAAGCATCTTATTGTCCGAAATTTCAACTACACGTACATACATATGTTTCCAATTAATGCAACATTCAAATGATATATAAAAATAATAAATAAATAAGATAATTCCATGGTAGGTATTAGATGAAAAAAACAGAAAATTTTAATTTAATGCAGCAATGATCAAGTTTCAGTGTAAATAATCAGTTCCAGTTTTCAACGAGGAAAGAAGAACGCACAATTCCTGAGCATGGATGCAAGTCATCACGTGGCCAATTAACATCCTGCAATTCCTGGTCCCAAAGTGGGGTCACTGGTGCTGAAGGGAGAACAAGTGGACTGTTGTCAACAGCATCTGAGTGACCCTCATTCTGATCTCCATCCTGCCCCTCCTGATCGTGCTCTAGGGTTGGAGAGGACAATGTTTCCCAGTCACTGGAAGCATGACCTTGCCTTTCCACATAGGACTGTATCAGTTGGTCTAGACTTTCACGAAAACCACTTTGAAGAAGATTAGAGACACTTCTCCTACAACAAAAGTGGAATTTCCCTTAAATTTTCATCATTTTTGAAAGGCATGCCAAAGGATCCTTAGTGATCAGATCACTTACCTGCTTGAAAGTTCTCTAAGTTCCAGACTGTATTCATTATCATCATCCAGGAAATAAAATGAAGTAGCCCTTCCAACTGAAGCAGTTCCGCCACCAGAAGGCCCTTCTGATGTGTTACCATTCTCATGCCACACTTCATGGGATTCTTGCAGATGACTGTGTTCTCCACCTTCGTTTTCTGATGTTACTTGATACCATTGATTAGCAGTAACTTCTCGCCAATTTTCTTCCATGCCTTCTCCAGTACTATTTCTCCATTCATTGAATTCGACATTGTCCAACTGTTGCCAGTCACTTTCCTCATTATCAGTACCTGATTCTTGCCACTCATCTATTTGAGCAGAAGTGTCCTGCCAAATCGTGTTCTCAACTGAGATGCCATGGTAAATATCAGTATGATTTGATGACCCATGGGCATCACTTTCCTCACTAAGCTCATACTGTTCCTGAAATACTTCAACAGCTTCTGATGGATGGAATTGCTCTTCACCTTCATTTCCTGAGGTTTCTAGTAACCATTCATCAGCAGTACTTCCCTGCCAACTTCGGCCCACATCTCCCAAATCATCTATCCTTTCACAGAGCTCAAAATTGGATGGCAGTTGTTCGTCTCCTTCGTCATTTTCTAGAACTTGTTCCTGCCAGTCTTCTTCAACTTGAGTAACAGATCCTTGCCAATTTAGATCTTCACCTATGCTGCCATCCAAGACATCTGCACACAACACATTGACGTTTCTTTCGCCATTACTAGGCTCAGCATGTTCAAGGTCATCACATGAACTGTTTGCTTTAATTTGTTCATTTCTGTAACCGTTAATGCCATTGTTGGATGAGGAATCGGACTGGATACTGCCAGCTGGACCATGAACAAAATTGTCTGATCCAGAGAGAAACCCTTCCCTGCTTTAAAAAATTGTTACAATCATGTGAAGAAGTCAACAGATAGATAATTTAATGTCACTGTAATTTAGGATGATTATATGCGCAACTACAGACAAAAATCCATTGCCAAAATGTCAAAATTACTTCATAGATCTAATATAACAACTCAATAACGAATACATCCAACACAGTGAAAGCATAAAAATCACAATAATCATATGCACAGAATAGCAATCATTGTTACTGCAGCTCATTCCTTATCAAATTCAATGAGAAATTGCCATTCTCCTGGCTCTGTTACAAATATTCAGTTCTTCAGCATAGATGGAAAAATAAAATGAGTCAGTAGCCCCACCAACTCTAATAACCTCTTCTGGATGTAAAAACTCATTTCTAGGTATTTCAGTCCTACCAATCTTGATCTCATCGCTACAACCAATAGAACTAGAAGTTAACAACCAATAAACTATGGTTCACCAAAACCTAGAAGGCATGATTGATGTAGTAAATAGTGTCTTGGAAAGTGTCTAGTCAAAGTTTAGAGTAGTAATAGTGGAATTGGAAAGTGAAGATGTTAAAGGAATATTGAAAATAGTAGTATTAAAGGATCTTCACTGAAATTTGGTTCGAAAATTTTATAAATCCAGTGTGATTCACAAAGTAGGTCAATGAGGGGTGATTTCAACACGCTTTGTGGGCGCAAAGTGAAGATGTTAAAGGAATATTAAAAATGGTAGTATTAAAGGATCTTCGCTGAAATTTGGTTCGAGAATTTTATAAATCCAGTGTGATTCACAAAGAAGGTCAATGAGGGGTGATTTCACCATGCTTTGTGGGCACAAAGCCTTGGTCACATTTATACTTGTGTTGTACAAGACAACTTATCGTTGTAATGTCACTTTATGCATTTTTTGTTTGCTTTGTTAAGGGTTTGCTCCCCTTTGAGCGCCTCTGTTAATACACATTTACTTATCCAAAAAAAAAAAAAAAATACTTGTGTTGTACAAGTAAAGGAAAATGGATTAACTCATTGCTTAGAGTTAAAGCAATGGATGTAGAATAAATATGCATGGGAAGATATGTATTAACACATAAATATGCATGTAAAATATAAATCCTAACATGTTAAATGATATGAATGCATGATCACAGACCCTACATTGGTTAATGCACAATTGGAAACAGAAAAAATACAATATAGAAGAAAGAGAGGAGAAATGCGTAAAAGGCCTGAATGAGATCAACATTCATTCACAACTCTAGAATTTATAGATAAAAAGAGCACATGCTCATATTACAAGAAAGAAAATTAAATCAAATCACAGCATTATGGCTAGACATATGCGTGAATAAAGTCAAACTCCATGATTTGTGGCTATCAAATCTCTGCTAATATGGTAAGTCATTCCATAAATCGTGGCTATCATATATGCTAACAGAAACCTTTTCTTTAACTGTCTTTCTGCTTTGATCAATAACCTACTTCAATAGATCGAACTCCCTTACGCTAGCATAACTAGGTTTTCTGATTCAAAAACAGTTCTATGCATTCTAAACCTAACATGTTAAATGATATGAATGCATGATCATGGACCATACATTGGTGAATGCACAATTTGAGAGTTGAATTTACCTTTATACACTAGTTGAAACTCTTGAAATCTCCGTTGCACCTTTGGATATAGGTAAACACAAACTGTGTGTATGGGTGTGGGTATGTGTGGGTGTGGTTGAACATTGTCAACTAAGCCCTATTGAGGGTTTAAGTCTCCATTAGGGTATATAGTATGGTTGTGGGTATGTGTGTATTGTCTGCCTGCCAAAACAAAATGGTTTCTTGTTATTGTGATTCTGGTTTCTACAGTTCAATGTCCTGTTAACGCATCTTTGCTATCAGATGCCAATCTCATGTATGTGTTTACGTTACATAACAGGTAGTACATATCAGGTTATAACATCTTAGTCAACAATTTGTAAAATGAGGTGTGGTTGAACATTGTCAACTAAGCCCTATTTAAGTCTCCGTTAGGGTAAATAGTATGGATGTGGGTATGTGTGTACGTCTACCTGCCAAAACAAAATGGTTTCTTGTTATTGTGATTCTGGTTTCTACAGTTCAATGTCCTGTAAACGCATCTTTGCTATCAGATGCCAATCTCATGTATACACTGTGTTTACGTTACATAACAGGTAGTACATATCAGGTTATAACATCTTAGTCAACAATTTGTAAAATGAACTACCGTGCACATAATAGTTTGTTTGTGCTCTTTTTAAAAGTCAATAAAATATCTTACTATTATCAATGACAGAACTAAACCCATATGTTGAAGAATACTGTAAAGCTATATAATTTGTGAAAGGTTATCTCGTAGTTGCCCTAAAATCTATTGAATTTACATGAAAAATAATTTTCAGATGAAAAAAATGATCAAATGCAAACCAAATACCTAGTAAAAAGAAAAAAGTACCAAGAAAAAAAAAAAAAAAATTACTTATGAAGAAAGAATATATACTTATCATAAATGTAGCTCAAAAAACTAAATACCTTAAATCAGATACAGTATGTCTTTGTCTCAGTAAACCCAATTCATTTGCCGCCATAGAAGTGGGTCTTTCGTCAAGGATCAATCTTTCCTTTCGCAAGAATCTACCCCTGAGTAATGACTGCAGAACAATAGCAATATCAACGCAGAGTAATGATACTTGGGCCTATTTCTTAGGGCTAATAGTCTGACCTATTTAATTCCTACCATCAGATGTCTTAAAGTTCCCCTACCAGAGAGCTGCTTTAATGCATCAGATGGTTATAAATGATTCGGTGAGACTATTGGTCATGACTATTCACTTTCAAAATCATTTTCCATCAATGCAGGATGAACTTTTCTATTCTTTATTGCAGAAACAAAAACTAGTTGAATAGCCACCAAGAGCATGGCTATTAATATTTAGTAAAAAAAAAAATATGACACCGGATGTATATTTCTGTTGAGAGGAAAAGGCCATGATAAAATGTTTTCAGCCATGACACTTAAAGTAATTATTTTCTAGATTATGAAATAACCCCATTACAATCAATTATCAATAAGCAAATGAAAATGCATTTTGTAGGTTATCAATAAACAAATAAAAAAGTATTTGTCAGCTTTTCTAGAGAGAGAGAGAGAGAGAGAGCAAAATGATAGCAAAATTGAGAAAGGGGGTCCAATTCCAACATGATCCCACAAAAATAAGCAACTATGACAATATCAATGTATCCAAGGGCACTGAAAGACTTCGCACACATGACGATTTTTTATTTATTTAACATTGTAGTTTGCATTCATCAAGCAAACATAATCTATATATATATCCAAGGATCAACCTATGCAGGCAAAGGAAACATGAAAGTCTTGCGCTACAAGACTTTCAAACATCCTTTTGCAGCAAGTCTTGTAGCATACTATTCAATGAGGCCTTGTCCTAATTGTTGTCTTGTCATTTGGATCACATAGATTGAAAGGGAGCTCACTGGGACACTTCCGAATCAAATAATTCCTACCTTTTTCAATCCATTTGGCATACATGATCAGATTGTTACGTCCATAGGACTAGGTTGACAAATTTCGTAGAACAAAACAAGTAGAATGTAATTTTTGTTTTACTTTTAGTTAGTTTGACTTACAATAGTTCAGATTTAAGTGAGAATTACCTCCGGGATTAAGACAAACTTCAACAAAGATTTAATTTGTCAAATTCATCAATGAAAGGGTAAAAAGGTAAAATTCACACTTCGGTGCAACATCTACAATTAGGTTCATGCATTGCACATTCATGGTTCATGATTTCAAAGTTTTTATAAACTTATTTTGAATCCAAAAATATGATTTTATAATGCATGATTTTTAAATCAAAGATAAAGTTTTTTTAAAGTGCTGAAAACCTTCAGAATGAGTGCATTGGAGTGTTCACGATAGATCGTGAAATGTGGAGATCGATCTCTATATACTGATTTTAGTTCTGAGCATTCTGGAGTAATGGCGATTAATGAAATTGCCAGTGTTGATTATCACAACATCCATCGTGGGAACTCCAGTAAGCAAAGTTTTGCTTACGATTGAATAATGATCGATCGTAGGTGTTAATCGACCGTAATTAAGTGACGTTTGATTGTGGCTAGCAAACTTAGAGTTCTAACAGAATTTAACTACTTGAGTTTTGAGCTAATTTACATACTCCTAGGAATTGTCTAAAAATACTAATGTTCTAAAAAAACTCTAGAGAGACATACAGAAAAAAGAGAGAATAGAACTTATATCATTTATTCATATTTTTTGAGAGCTCTTATTCTTTTATTTGTTTTTACACAAGATAAAAAACCTCATGTTCATTATATAATTTATATTTTGCTGAGTGTTTTTCTTGCAAGTAAAAGTGCACCAGATTTTTTTTTTTAACATTCATCATACAACGCAATCTACTAGATTCTCATTTGGACAGGTAATCTACTAGTGGCTGAAGATCAATCAGTAAGAGGCAGGTTCGAGTGTATTGAACGCTGTTGACAGATCAATTGATGACCTGATCTTCGAGTGTACTGAAGATTTATTGTTAGGTGTGTCTAGAGATAAATTAAGAGTTCAAGTGTATTGATCGTACATCTCTTTCTCTATAGTAGATTAATTTGCCGCACTATGTCCCGTGGTATTTTAACCCTAATTTGGGGTTTTTCCACCAACAGACCTGTGACCTAACGGTACAAGGCTCCTACTTCCCAAAGGGAGGTAAGGGGTTTGAACCTCAATGGAGGTAGTGGGTGTGGGTCCCAGCTAGGAAAAAAAAAATTGGGGTTTTTCCATGTTACATCTGGTGTGCACTTTTCTATTAATGTATTATTGTTTTTCAGTGTTTATTGTGTCTTTTCAGTGTTTATTGATTGCTTTTTCAGTGTTTATTTATTCATTGTGCATCTCTTTCTCTATAGTGGATTAATTTGCTCACTAAGTTTCGTGGTTTTCTAACCCTGCTTTGGGGTTTTTCCATGTTACATCTGGTGTGCACTCCTATTGCTGTATTATTACGTTTACTGTATTTATTGATATATGCACGCATATCTTTATTTGTCTAAAAAACAATATTACCAGATTAACGGTCAATTCTAATTGAATTTTAAATTGCTAAAAAGTTCCATAAGACCTATTCACCGCTCCTCCTCTAGATCTAGGTGATCAGAACGATCCTTGCACATTGTACTTTCGATAGTTATTGTACTGTCTGAGTCAAATCCCATCACATATGACATTAGGTGGGCCAAGAATAAATTGGTACTCGTGCTTTTTTTCATGAAAATCTTGTCTTTTTAATGAAGTGTCTCTATTTCATGGTAATGGCTTGTTAACTTCAATAAAATGAAAAAATAAAATATTATGATGGTTCTGCACTTGAACCTTGCCTAACTAAGAACCAATCCAACCCCAAATTGCTAGATCAATTTATTTATGTGATGTTGTGGCTCGATTTTGTTTCGGCCTGTTGCATGTGAATTGTAACTTTCTATGACCTTTTTTTCGCATGCGGGTTGTGGGCCATGTTTAGAACTCTCTTGTAACCCAGTATATAAGGGCGTTTAGGGCTTGGAGTGGCTAACGAGAGAATGTTGAAAATCATAGGAAAGAGAGTGCGAGTGATAGTGAGAGCTAGGAAAGAGAGTGCGATTGAAAATCACAGGATTTTCGCATAGTGAAATCTTCGCTAGATTTTCACCATGGACATAGGCTCAACTTGTGTCGATCCACGTAAATCTTTGCATTCTTTGTGTGTGGCGTGTTCACTTTTCTGTCGTGATTATTGTCTTGTTCTTGGTTTGTTGCGTTTGTCCTAACAATCTCTATAGACAAAAATACACCTCAACTAGGTTTGATGATGGTAGACTCTAGCCAGCTGAAATATAGGTTGAACTGACCATGTTGAAGTCATTTCAATAATGTTGAAAGTTTCCAACTTTTGCAGCAGCTATGAAGTGAATTACGAAAGTGTATTTTTATTAAATGTAGTATAATGGGAAGAAAAAAGCAAAGTCATTTGGATAACATTGGGTTACTTTCCCACTATGACAAAAAAAAAATATATTCACTCCATAGCACCAATCTAGGTTTGTAAAGTGAACCAAACTATTCAAGCTTGTTTCTAGTTCGGCGTAGAAAATTTTGTCAGGCTCACTTGAAATTGTACTTTAGAGGTATTCAATCTTATGTTGTGTGAACTGTAACTTTTTATGACCCGTTTTTCGCATGCGGGTTTGTGGACCCTATTTAGAACTCTCTTTTAGCCCCGTATATAAGGGCGCTTAGGGTGGGTAACGAGAGAACATTGAAAATCACAAGAAAGAGAGTGAGATTGAGAGTGAGAGCTAGGGTTAGGAGACTGAAACTTGTAATCTCCTGATTTTTGCATGGTGAAATTTTCACTAGTCGAACCACGTAAATCTTTACATTCTTTGTATGTGGCGTGTTTACTTTTTTGTCGTGATTCTTGTTTTGTTCTTCGTTTGTTGCATTTGTCCTAACAATTTCTATAGACAAAAATACACCTCAACTACGTTTGATGATAGCAGGCTTCAACTAGATATAATCTAATTGGTTGTATTTCTAGGCTAAAGAAAAGATGAAAATATACCAAAAGATTTATGTTCTCATTCACTTCTTTAAGTTAAGTCTTCTTCTGTATCATTAGTAATAAAAGTTGGTTGTATTTGAAAATTTGGTATTATCTACCAACAAGAGATTGAACACGAAACTACTTTCTTTTTTACTTAATAGGAACTTACATTTCTTATTCAATGAAGTGCCTACTAAAGAACTTTGCTAGATATATTCAATAAACCAAGCTATTCAAGCTTATTTCTAGTTCGGCATAGAAAAGTTTGCCAAGCTCAATTGAAATTGTACTTTAGAGCTGTTCAATCCAATGTTGAAGCTTTAACTAGATATATTTTAATTGGTTGTTTTTCTAGGCTAAAGAAAAGATGAAAATATAAGAAAAGAAGAAGTTTTGGGTTTTAGCGTCTTCAAACCGAGAGCCGAGAGCTATATTTATATACAAGAATAGGGTGCAAAGAAAGGAAACAAATTAAAGAAAAACAGAAAATATGCCAAAATCTACATGATCCCATGATTATAGGGATCTTATCTATAAACCAAGCTATTCAAGCTTATTTCTAATTCGGCATAGAAAAAGTTTGCCAACCTCACTTGAAATTGTACTTTAGGGCTGTTCAATCCAATGTTGAAGCTTCAACTAGATATATTTAATTAGTTGTTTTTCTAGGCTAAAGAAAAGATGAAAATATAACAAAAGAAGAAGTTTTGGTTTTTAGCATCTTAGCCAAGAGCTATATTTATATACAAGAATAGGGTACAAAGAAAGGAAACCAAATCAAAGAAAAAATAGGAAATATGCCAAAATCTACGTGATGATCCCATGATTATGGGGATCTTATCTACGTGATCCCATGATTAGGGGGATCTTATCTACGTGATCCCATGATAATAGGGATTTTATATAAAATATCTAATAAAAGGCTGAAAACAGCTAATAAAAATAATAATAATAATAATACAAATATTTCAACACTACCCCTCAAGCTGGAGTGAAGATATTAATCAAGCCCAGCTTGGTAATCGAGTAAT